AGAGGGGCTCCTTAAATCTTTGGTGCTTTCTTGTATCTTTTTGTTATCATTGTTATAGCTAGGTTTTACAAAACAAATATGTTTTGTTTCTAAATCATATCACTGGCACTGTTTCTGTGTTAAAAGCACTATCATAACAAATATTATTTAATTTTTACAAGTTGGAAAGCTTTGCTCCAATATGCCATGTCTGTCTCAAAATTAGGATAGAAATGGCTCACAAAAAAAAAATAAACAAGGAAATAAATGCATGAAATAAGAATTATTTTCTGCCTCCTTTATACTAGTTATTTCTTTAAAATTAAGTAGAAAAGATTGTAATACATGGATTTTTAGAAATGAACCCCAAATTCAACAGAAGCAAAATTGTTTAGCAATTATTAAAAAAAATAACAAATCATTGGTCCAGATGGAAGGAACTAGTGTAATGTAGCATCCTAAGGTGTCCACTTTCAAAAATGTCATCACAACTGGCACTAACTAGAGTCTTCTTCAGTAATTTCAGTAGAGAGATTAAGTAGGCAAATTAAGGATGGGAAATTCTCTCCATCTTCCCACTCTTTCTTACTGGTTGGTGTTCCTACTAATTACACTAATAGGCAAACTTCTCGTACTGTCATATGCTATCCTGGAGACAGACTCTGACATATCTGGTGAACAATTGCTCTTTTTGTTCTGGTGGATCTATACTGACATTACAATGTGTGGATTGTTAATTGCAATGGCTCTGGACTGAGATCTCTAATAAAGCTGAAAAATTACTCTGTACTTTAAAAATGTACTGTAAGTGAAAACATCACTGCATAGTGATGTGAAGTCACTGTGTGATTTCCAGGGATTTGCACTTCAGCAGATACGAAAATCGGCAGGAAGACAGAAGGCCTCTGTGCAAAGAGGACCAAAGTCACAAGCGTTTCCTCAAGATCTGTACAGCTTCTGGAAGATTCTTATATATTCTGTGACATGGTTTGGCTCTAGATGGAAGGAATACAGAGAAGAGGTATACATACTTAAGTGCAAGGATTTAATAAAAACCCAATCCATAATCTCCTTGAGTCCTTAGTCCTAATTATTTAAATGAACATTAGGTTACGACCAAATTGATTCCTTATCAAATATGATTCAAGTCCTCTCATAACTTTTTGCTTATTATATATGGAAGATTGTCTATTTTTCCACCAAGTGTTGACAGATGATGACAGTGTCTAGTTTGCTATGTTGTCTTTTATGAATTTGTTTAGAGCAAATGATTGAATATAATTTCAGATGTATGCATAAATGGTCTTACATCCAAAAGAATCCCATGCTAAGGCATCATGTCTGATGGGATAAAACTGAGTATGGCACAGCCTGGCCACACACGGATTAAAGCCCCAAATTGAAGACAGTCTGTGTTTATAAAAATCATTGGCTTGTAAACCATTTTCTTCTTTATAGTCTTACCTAGAAAAAGCTAAGAACTGATGGCACAAAGGGGTAATAACAACTGATTTAGCTGGAAAAAAACCCATGCTTTTACCTACTTGCTTGGACTCTTAGATGACAACAGGACTACTTAGGAATGAGTTAATACGTAACTAACTAACCTAAGTGCTATATAACTAGCCATTTGCCTCACAGAAGAGTCAGGCTTTAAATTCTGTTCTTTAGTTAATTGACGTGTAGTGTGTTTCTGGCAAATTACCGGCTCTGAATCACGGAAGACCACACACACGCCACCCCCGGGGCAGGTCCCAGCCGGCCACAGCCGGAGGCGGATCTGAGACCTTGCCAAAGAGGGAAGGTCCCAAACCTTTCCCAAACAGATCCCATCGGGGGGAACTGGGACAAACACATCGGTTTGGAGCGGTGCTGACCACGTCGCTGTGTCTGCGCGGAGGGAAAAAGGCGGTGCCGCGGCAGGAAAAAGGCGGTGCCGCGGAGGGAAAAAGGCGGTGCCGCGGCGGGGGCGCCTCAGGAGGAAAGGCCGGGAGTCGCGTGCCTTATTCAGCCCTCTGATTGGTCGCTGCTAGAGGAGAGCGCTTGTGACTGGAGGAGCGGCTGTGTAGTTGCCATTGGTCAGACTCACTGAGGTAATTCGGATTCCGATTGGCGGAAGGATCATTCCTGTTTGTTGACTGGCTGGGAGGCAGCGCTGTGGTCTTTCCCCTTCCGGTGGGCGCTGACCTTGCCCGGGAGCGGTGCCGCCCGTTCGCCCCCGTCTCTCGGCCCCGCAGCCATGGTGGCATACTGGCGGCAGGCCGGGCTCAGGTACTCGTCTGGCGGCCACGAGGCTCCTCTCGCGACTTCCTTGCGACAGCTGTATCGGCCGGAGGCGAGGGCCTCGCAGGGAGGGCTGGCGGCGTCACAGGGGTGCCGCTGGAGGGGGTGGAGAAGCTTTTGGGGCGGGTTCGAGTCTCACCTTCGTTTTCTCGCCCCTTTTCTCTCCTGTCTTTAGTTACATCCGGTATTCCCAGATCTGCGCCCAGGTTGTTAGAGCAGCAATGAAGCCTCAGTACAAAGCAGAGGCAGAAAGGGCGGCAATGGCCACTGTGAAAACTCTGAAACCCAAGAAGGAATAAAATGTAAGTAAACTGAGTGGGCCGGGGTGCCTTATTGTAGCTTTTTATACGAGGAGTGTTGGTTTCCCGGTGTGAGTCAGGTTAATGACAGTCCGTAACTGCTCGGTTCATTTTGTGCTCTATGTGGAAAAACGGCTCTGATCTTCATGCATGAAACTGGAACGGATTGCTGACTGGTTTGGTACAAATGTATGCAGATGTCTCTGCATCCTGATGATTACGTGTGGGATGGGAAACTGTTTAATCTCGTTAGTTTGATAAAGTGAGATGTTATATCCATCAAGCCCTGCTTTGAACGATCTGGGGTTTGGTCAAAGTTATTACGGACTTATGCAAAACACCTGGGTTTCTGTAGTGATGTTTATAGGTTTCCTGTCTCTTGCTTTACCAAGCCAACAGACAGCCTCTCCGAACTACTGTTTCCCCTAATTAGCAGATTTATTTGTGTAAGGGTTATCTACTATCTGTGAAAGATAGATGCTACTTGTACCTCCATTTGTGACACTGCATGCATCACGAGCAGCTGAAATCCCTTCTAAGTAGGACAGCTTCTATTCCTGATCTGAGATTAAATATTACTACCTTTTGTTTGAAGCTGTCGTGGTTCAACCCCAACCAGCAACTAAGCACTGGGCAGCCACTCACTTACTTCCCCCCTACCCAGTGGGATGGGGGAGAGAATCGGGGAAAAAAAAGTAAAACATGTGGGTTGAGATTTAATAGAACAGAAAAGAAGAAACTAATAATGATAACACTAATAAAATGACAATAGTAATACTAAAAGGATTGGAATATGCAAGTGATGCACAATGCAGTTGCTCACCATCTGCCGACCACCACCCAGTTAGTCCCTAAGCAGCGATCCCCCTGCCCCCAGTTCCTATACTAGATGGGACATCCCATGGTATGGAATACCCTGTGGGCCACTTTGGGTCAGCTGCCCTGACTGTGTCCCCTCCCAACTTCTTGTGCCCCTCCAGCCTTCTTGCTGGCTGGGCATCAGAAGCTGAAAAGTCCTTGACTTTAGACTAAACATTACTTAGCAACAACTGAAAACATCAGTGTGTTATCAACATTCTTCTCATACTGAACTCAAAAACATAGCACTGTACCAGCTACTAGGAAGACAATTAACTCTATCCCAGCTGAAATCAGGACAGAAGCATACATTTGTATATATTCTTAATTGAATAACTTGTATTTTAAATCTCTCATAGGAACTGATCTGTGGTGAATAACAGCAAACTACAAAGCTGTAGGCAAGCTCCAGACTCTGCGATACAATGTCATCACATTAACTGTAAAACTTGCCACTGTATGTAAATCAGCATGCTAATAAATGTAATTGCTGTTAAACAAATTAATGTGTGGAAGGTGGTGTTCCTCTTGAAACAAAGTACTCTATTTTGCAGAGACATTTACCTTTTCGCTTGTGTTAAAATAGAAGTCTACCATTCAGTGGCAACATACGTTTATTTTTAAGGCAGACCTCTTGTTGGATATCATGCTGGTATTTCAGGTACACAAATGAGTGAGAGACTTGATTGTTGTTTAAAACTTTTCTGCCTACTTCACTTCAATGATTAATGATTACTTCTTTGGAAAAAAAGTTTTCTTCACTAAAACCTATGTCAACAGAGAATATAGGTATATAATTTCGATAATTAAAAATACCTCTGTCGGTTCTCTCTGCTGGAAGTGGTACGCTGTTGACTTTAATATTCTCTGTCATCATGGTGTTCATCTTCCATTTGTGCTTAGAACAAAACTAACTCAGTGAAAACTGATTTGATGAGGCTTAGGGTTATGACTAAACTGGCAGCAGGATATTTTGCCATGGATGTGCTGCACAGGATCTAATCTCCAAAGCTGTCTGGAACACTGGGAGTTGGAGACCTGGCATCCTGTAAGAGGTGGAGAAGGAGGCACAGAAACCCCTGCACCATATGGTAATTGCTCAGCTATTGGTTGTCCTTCTTGTTACCGCTGTGTCACTTTACTGGGGGGAGAAGGACACACGTTCACTGGGAAACAGTAGGAACGGAGGGTGACACTCCATCCGCTCTTGGTTAGGGGGGCGAAGTCATACTTTCAGCTGTACTGCTTTGGGGGAAGTGTTTGCGTGTTCCTGCTGCTGTGTGTCTTCACAGCAAATGTGACGCTGTCCCACTGCACAGGAAGAAATAGAGCATGCTTGCAGAATTGGCTGCAGGCTTACGTTCACCTAGATGCTTCTACTGTTGAGGCGTTACTTTCTTCAGAGTATAATAAACTCTCTCCTCTAAAAGTATAATAAAACTAGCTCAATTTTTTCATGTAATTTGAAGTTTGTCCTTACAAGAATAAATTATTTTTGTCTATCAAATGTTTCAAGTATTAAAGTTTTATAGAATGGTATATAATTTTTATTTTGAAGAACATTATAAATACAGTGAAGGGTAAGAATTTTTTTTTTTTAAGTCAAGATATGTTTTTTATTTAGTGATTGCCATTGAACCTGTATCTAACTAGCTGCAAACCATTCTATCCATTTTGCTGTACTGAATGATAGGAAGAAAATTGACAGTAGTTAGTTAGTACACGGGGGAAAAAAACCCAAACCACACACTGAAACTTTTACACAATGTTCACAAGTTTCCATGCTAATATAACTCTATAGTTTGAAATAGAAACAAACCACACAATGATAATGAATACAAGCTCTGCAATAATATAAAAGCCAGCAATGTGATAGAACTATTAAAGTGACATTAAAAAAAGTAAGAATGTGTATATTCAGTCTTTTGCCCCATGTTCTTTCCCCTTCCCTCCCCTGCAACTTAGTTACTTAAGGAACTGAACTTGTCTGCAGACCTACATCAGTCTGTGGAGTGTATAATAAAATAGATAACTGCCTTTATAGGCCTCACAGATGTGCCTGTGTTCTTAAAACAGTAACAAGTTCACAAACAAAACACGGACTGTGTTTACCTGAGAATAAATAAATTTGATGAGTTGATAGCATATTCTGCTGTTGCTTATCATTCTGATTATATACACAGACACAGAGACTGTATATTACATTCAGGATCAGGTGATAATACTCTAAAAGTGAATACATTTACAAGAAAGGCTGTTACGAGACATCTTCATAGTGGCTCTTTTTTGGGAGCAATTCAGTGTCAACAGTTGTTTAGGAGAGTAAAGCATAGCTGCCATTAATTCCAAAAGCATTGTCTTGTAATACTGAATATATTTTGGCCAGACGTAGAGTAAAAATTCTTAAGAAAGGTGTTATTTTCAGTATGCAGATGATGGCTACTGCTTTTTCTTTAGTGAGTGTCCACAGGCTTATTCGGAGAATGTTTTGATATTACCATTGTTTTTACAGTGCTTCCTTTTCTGGGTTGGCTTCCACTTCTACCTCTTCATATTCCTCAACATCTGCAGTGGCATCCTGGTACTGTTGGTACTCGGACACAAGGTCATTGGTGTTGCCTTCTGCTTCAGAAAACTCCATCTCATCCATACCTTCACCAGTATACCAATGGAGAAATGCTTTTCTTCTGAACATAGCTGAGAACTGTTCAGAAACCCTGATGAAGAGCTCCTGAATGGCTGTGTTATTGCCAATAAAGGTAGCTGCCATCTTTAAGCCTCGCGGTGGTATGTCACACACAGCCACTTTGACATTATTAGGGATCCACTCCACAAAGTAGGAACTATTCTTGGTCTGGACAGCCAGCAACTGCTCATCCACTTCTCTGGTAGACATTCGGCCTCTGAAGATGCATGCCACGGTCAAGTAACGTCCACGACGAGGGTCGCAGGCTGCCATCATGTTGCGTGCGTCAAACATTTGTTGAGTAAGCTCTGGCACCGAGAGCGCTCTGTACTGTTGGCTGCCTCGAGCTGTCAGTGGAGCAAAGCCTGGCATAAAGAAATGCAGGCGAGGAAAGGGCACCATGTTAACAGCCAGCTTCCTCAGGTCTGCATTCAGTTGACCAGGAAAACGGAGTGAGGTTGTGACACCGCTCATCGTTAGGGACACTAAGTGGTTGAGGTCACCGTAGGTAGGATTGGTGAGCTTTAAAGTTCTGAAACATATATCGTATAGAGCTTCATTGTCAATGCAAAAGGTTTCATCTGTATTCTCTATCAGTTGATGGATGGAGAGGATGGCGTTATAAGGCTCTACGACCGTGTCAGATACTTTGGGTGAAGGCACAACACTGAAAGTGTTCATAATCCTGTCGGGATATTCTTCTCTGATTTTGTTGATGAGGAGCGTGCCCATACCTGAGCCTGTACCACCACCAAGTGAATGGATGAGCTGGAAGCCCTGAAGGCAGTCACAGCTCTCACACTCATTCCTGACCACATCCATGACGTTTTCAATCAGTTCAGCGCCTTCTGTGTAATGGCCCTTAGCCCAGTTGTTTCCAGCACCTGAATTACCTGTAAACATAATTACAGAAAGAACAGCCACAAAGTTAACAAGAGAATTTTTAAAGGCTACAAAGATGGGAGTTAAAAGGCTGTTCTGGGGCAGTTGACTCTAGTTAGTTTGCTGACAGCATGATGTACATACCATGAATAAAATTGTCAGGTCGAAAGAGTGGGCCTATTTTGCTAGACCGTACACTGTCCATTGTACCAGGTTCCAGGTCCACCAAGATAGAACGGGGCACATATTTATGGGCTAGGACAAAAGAAAATGAATGCGAACAGTTACTGTTAGAAGTCAAAAAGACAGCCTTATAATCTACTCTGAAAAATCCAACCCACCTATAGTGATTTGGGGATATTTTTTCTCTTAATTACTTATTTTAACCTTCATGTTGGCTCCGCAAATTGCTCTGCCAACAGAGCTGAGCACTTACAGTAAGCCTCATTGAAGTACACGTTAATTCGCTCAAGCTGCAGTGATGCATCCCCACGGTAGTTCCCAGCGATGTCAATTCCATGTTCGTCACTTATCACCTCCCAGAACTGGAAAAGGAAAGAGGTTCAGTACACTCACGAAGATTTTTTTTTTCAGCACAATGTGTTCAGCACCAGCTCTGCTGCGCTCATGCCTGACTGCACAAAAAGTGGGAACTGGGCCTGATGTGGGGGGTGTTTTGCCATTTACGTATTAGATCGAGCAGGGATCCTCCTCTCCCCCCTCCCCTAATAAGGTCAAGGGAAAAGTTTAGTAGACCATTTATGCTTCTTAACTATCACTCATGCACTAATAGGTGGAGGCCCTCAATTTGCTCCCTTCATAGTAAAGGAAAATTGGTATTAGCTTAAATAACACAGGTACTAGTTGGTATGAGCTTAACAAAAATGCCGGGGGGTTGTGTGGATTGGGGAGGGCTGCTTTGAGGCTTGTCATGCACAAGTGGGACTGTGGCATGGCAAAGCTGGCTCAGACAAATTTGTATGTGAGCAATGCTTTCCACAAACAGATGTTGGTCCTAAGCGTCCTATCTTGACATTCATATGGATGTCTTGTGCTGGGGCTCTTATCTAGGCAGCAGCCACAGCGGTGTTAATGTAGACACACCCACCCACTATAATGACCAGGCTATTTTAATTTTAAAGGTGTCCTGGTTTAGCATTCAGTCTTGTTTTGAGTGTAGAAATAGACCATTGCCAACATGCGCATGGGATGTGTGTGTGTGCCCGCTTTTCTACAGGTCTTGTTAGATATAAGCCGTTTCCAGGTCAAAGCCAACAGAAAAAAAATACAGCTCTTTAACTATCACACTGGCTGCATTCAGTCTGGGTCTAACATGACATTCCCTGGCCATCCACAGCTTCATGTTCCAATAAAAGGAATCAAGGTGAGATTTGTGGGAGCAAGAAATGGAGGAAGAACACAAGGGAACAATCCTTCAGCTATTACGTTCAAAGCTATTATCTTCAAAGACCTCCCAGCCCCAAATTAACCCAGATGATACTTTTTTTTGACAACTTCCTACTTAACAGTAAAAAAAAAAGGCCATTACACAGCAAAAGCAATGGTTTTTTTTCTCTTAGCACACAAAGTCAGCAATGACCAACTTCTCTCAAAGCAACAACATACCAGTGTTTGAACTACACAAAAATACTCCAAATGACATGACGACCTCTCGCAGGAGGCCAGTTAGGCAGAAATCCTTAACTAAACTTTATGCCACTCTTAGAAAAACCTAGTCGGTCACTGATAGCACAGGTCATTCTGTTGACTAATACAATCCCATATTAATGATTATAATGTGAGAGTTACTGCCGTATGGCTGAACTAAAGTACTTGCATCACGATTTCGCAGCCCTGGAATCACTGGTCCTTCACTTGTCCCAGTATTTTGCAGACTAGATTAGTGCCCCTGAGAATACGACTCCCAGCAGGAATGCTCTGGAGCACTTATAATCACTGTGCCATAGTTATTGCAGATGTTTCATTCTTTGACAGACTTAACATTAACCTCTGCACAAGGAACAAGCCCATCTTATGACTTTCATATCAAAATACTCATATTCACTGCTAACGTGCCATGCATCCTACTATTGAGTTGTCAAAGTAATAGTTCTCCCTGAAAGTCCCCATCTGTTAACGATGTTTGACCTGCTACCACTGATAGCACTTAACTACTAATGACCAATACTGAAAAGAGACCTTACCTTAGCTCCAATTTGGTTCCCACACTGGCCAATCTGAAGATGCACAATTTCACGCATTTTGTGTAGCTTAGACCTGTTGGTGGCTACAACCTAACAGGTTTTCTAGTTGCAGTCCCCAGAACAAGCCCTCTTTCTGCTGCTGTATCAGCTACACCCAGTGCAGTCCGCCCCAAGGGGCCTTTTTATACTGGGGGGACTGTCACTCAGCAAGGGGAGTAGCCAGCTCCTCAGGCTGCTCACCAAAGCATTTCACAAGGAGGCAAAGTGCCTATTCACTGCCTGTGTACAGGGTACAAGAGCACAGGTACATTACTGAGTGGCATGGAAAAGAAAGCTGTCACACGCACTCCTTTACAATTAATTCCAGTTCTCTGTGCAGCAAACAGTGTGATTCATGAACATCTGTGCACACTGTATTTGTTTTTCATTATTTTATACATAATATATGTACAAATAAATATATATGCATATATAGAGATTATAGCCAAAACTGAGTGATCTTAATCTATTAAGTACATGTGTTTCTGACACCTAATTTAAATTTTAACATCATATAAGTCATACGGGACAACATCCATAATAAGAACAGTAACAACTTTTGAGCAGTACCCTCCTATAATCACGACATTCAGCGCATTGCCAGGCAAACTTGCACTTCACTAATAAGCATCATTCTCAGTATCTAACTGCATGACAGAGGGGTACAGACAGGATCAGTAACAAAAAAATACTTTGTAAAACATCAATATAAAACTGCACTCTCAGTGATATATGTTCTTTAAACATTTAATAAGAATTCATCAATTTCAGCCAAACTAAAATCTGAATCAACTTGTGACTAACTTGCACAGATGCTTTCTCTCTCTCTCTCCCCCCCTTCTCTTTTCTCTCTTTCGCTCTCCTCCTTTCCTGCCATTAAGAAATATAGTATTTCTCATATTTCTTATTTTCTTGTATCTGAGACGTAGTATTCCAGAACTTGCCAGGAAAATGCTAGAGGTGAAAACCCAGTTCCACTTAAGTTAACTATAACATTCACTGTGTGAAATGTTTCACTGCATTAAAGGAAACATGCAAGGCTGAGCAAAATGTAACACAGTCATGTTGCCTGCTGATAAACAGGACTAATATCACTGAGCAACAGAAGCCCAGAATGGACTGTCTTCTGGAAGCTTATAGTAGTTTTATTACATGTCAGAGGACTGTCAGTGCTTTGCAAGAACTATAATTAGGAAAGCACCTTAAGCTGTTTTGTATGAAAAGATGACAGTGGAAGGACTTGACTCATTGAAAGTAACTACTTTACCACTTTATGGCTTGCTAGAGATAAGGAATCTCTGAGCTTCCATATTGTTCCAAAAGAAAAATCAGCTTATTCCAGACTTCCCCACCACAGACGATTTCCACTTCTTCCACCGGCCAACGGAGGAACAGACAACTATTCCTAAGACAACGTTTAGCACCAGAAGTGCATTGCAAAAAAGCAGCTAGCAAACATTCTGTCATCCTCTGCCAAGCTATGAGCTATCCTTGATAGGGAGCAATAAAAGCAAGACTTTAAATTCAGGTCGATTAATTTTGTTTCCTTAAAACACAATAGTTTTATCATTTTCCAAAAAATAAGTATTCTCTAAACAGTTTAGTTTACTCTGCAAGACAACATAACAGTTATGTTCCATTGCCATGTTGTAGGTATTTTCTACCATGGCAGTGGATATCTTCTACAATTTCCTAAGACAAAATTCTGGAAAGGTTATTTGGACATTTACTTTGAAAGCAAATTTCATTTTATTCATGCACATTTCATATTTGTTTTCTCCAACAATGCTTAGCTAAAAGTAATAGTGCAATTCTGAGTTGTATATTCAATTGCTGCATTCTGAATGGGAGCTGCATTGACACAATGTGTCAGAGAGCTACTGACACTAAATAAATACTACTTATAATATGCCACGTATTAATCTGAAATAGCCAAAACTTATGAAGAGGCTAATTCACTGTCCAAAAAATCTAGCAAAATAATTTCAGCAATAAATATACTTACTGAGAGCATCTCACATGCAAAATTAAAAAAAAAAAAAAAGGAAGTGAAAGAAATATGCAATCACTTAACATTGGTTTTTCTCTTGCTAAAAATAGCCCCCTGGAATCATGTGCCTCTTCTGAATCACTTCCTTACAGAGTCTTAAAAATGATGGCACATGACACAAAGTACCTGAGGTGCTTTGTGAAGCAGAGGTTGTTTCAAGCCTCTTTTCCCTTTCCTCCCCAATTGCATTTCTGTGAACCTCCAAGTCTGTCTTTATACCAAACCTGGTACATGAAAAGCCTGTTTCTATGTAGATTTTGTTTGCAGGCCTGTCATTCCTCAGCTCTGAGAAACCTCAAGCCTCTTAACTGCCCGAGCGTGCTTCCCAGGCGCAGCCATTGAACATGTGCTATTGCAGATTAGTGGTGTCAGCGTCACCAGAGAAAGAGGAGACGGTGGCGGAAGGGTTGGCTTCGAGGGACTTTTGGCACCGCGGAGATTAGGAGCAGCCTGGCACTGGGCACAGCTATTACCAGCCTGTCCCGCTGTGTTTATTATCAGGCTGCCCACTGCTTCCATTGCCTTCGGGGTGGGCCCTAGATATCAAAGCCCTGGTGATGGGTGTAAGCTAAGACCACAAACAAGCCAGGGTTTTTTGGTTACTGGGGGTTTTTTTGTTTCTGTTTTTCTTGGGTTTTGGGGGGTTTTTTTTGTTTTTTTTTAGTGCCACCACAGTACCCACTAGCATGTGCAGGGAGGTGTTCTGGGATACTTTTTCTTAATATGGTTTGTTTCGAAGGAACTAGATTTTCACAGTAGCAGTGAAGATTGTTGAGAAGAAAGCCTATTCAAGTTGAGATAAGCCTGGCTACAGGCCACCAGATAATTTCAGAGAGATCTGTGAATGGCTATCAGGCGAGCTGATGCTAGTCTCAACTAATCTGTGCTAGCTACATCATCCTTAGGAATGCTACCAAAACCCATTGCATTCAACAGGCAATAAAGACTACCTACTTCACATTTTCATTTCCGTTAGTAAGAAAAATTATTTAAAGACTGCCTCCCTCTGGCAGGTGGTCCAAAGGAAATAAGGCAGGACTGCCTACTCTAAGTTATCATCAGTGTAATGAGCCCATATGTTTAAACAAATAGGTTTTGGTACAATCGGAGTGCACAACCGAGCGGTTCGTTACCTTTCCCACGCTGCAGGTCTATGACCAGGCAAAAACTTGGGGCTTGCAGCATGTGAATTTATCTGCTGGGTAGTGCCCTTACCCTGGACCCTACTGCCACAACCGCATTTACTGTTCAGTTTGGGTCATTTGATGAATTGCCAAAAAGGTCAACTGCACAGAAGTCAGGCTCAGTTCTTGCTCTGCTGTTCCTTTTGTTGCATTGGTTCTCAGTGCCTCAGTTTCTCTATTCATAATGTGGAGCTAATAAACCTCATGCCTCTTATAAAAAGTGCTGAGAGCTAAGGAAGAAAACCTATAAGGGAAGAACTGGCTGTGGTTTACTAAACCTGTTTACCAAGCATGAAAGCCCTAGGCAACATAAGAAAAAGAGACTGGTAGTCCACTCACACAGATACTTAAACCTTCTGCAGGAGAACTAGGAAACTATTTTTACTATTGACTAAATCTTGTAGCAGATCATAATCTTCAAACGTTCCGAACCCTAAAGCATAGCCTAAAAGTGGATGCAGGCCTGTATTCCTTTTGTAAATTGCAGCACAAAAGGGCTTGAGAAATTCAAAACTTGGGATTAGTGAAAAAACCCAACCAACCAAAAAAAAAACCCCCCAGTCTGCCTGCTCTGTGCAATCGCTCAGTCTTACACAACGCTGATGCATTAGGCCAAAGGTAAAGGGACCTGCACCCAGCCACGCAGGGCCTGCGTCTGTCCCACGCACAAGCCCTCTTGTCACAACCCCTGTGTTGAGAGAAACCGCATATATTGAATCAGCACTGTATTTAAATAGATTTTCCTATTAGGTTTTGGGGTTTTTTTTGGGGGGGGGGGTGATCAAAATCGCTCCACTGCCCGTGGGGCGGGTGCTGCTGCGCCCTTCACGGCCCGAGAGCAGGGAGGGTGAACACCGCGATTTCAGGTCTCTCACTACTTTTACTCCTTATCCCCCCCAAAAAAACGAACCAGCCGTCATTAGGAAGGACCCAGCGAGGCGCACGC